TAACATTTTTAAAATTGAAATTAATTTGAAGAAAATTGAAATTTAAAAAAAAATACTTCATTAAATGTTTTATAAGTAATAACTTTATAGCAGTTCTTAAATAGAATTAAGTTATTTGAAATAAAAATCCCTGAACAATTTTACTTTATAATCCTTATATAATAATCCTTATAAGGATTATTAGGGCCACTATTTACGAATTTGAAGTTAGATTTGCAAACACTTCTTAAAAATACGTTTTTAATTAAGATGTTAAGATGATAGTTTCTCTATATAAGGATAGCAAATTGAGACAAAAAAATGAATAAAAAGTGTTGCGAAGCAACATTTTGATTCGGTTTTTTTGTTTCAATTTGCTATCCTTAGAAAAACTGTGATAAAACAAATAATTGTCAAAGTGATTGTTTAAAATCTTGGATGATATTGCGAAAACTGATTGAAGAAAAAAGGGTTTATCTAGTTAAAGAAAAATATGCGGTTTAACCTCGGAGGAAATTCGAACCGCAAGTCAAATATGCTTCACTTATCAAGGAAGCTTTTTAGCTTTGCCTAACTCCCGACCTGGATTGCGAATTATTAGCATAGTTGCTAATTGTAAGTTAGCAATTGTTTCTTTAAAAAATGATGCAAATCGGCTAGGATTTCATTCCCTTTGGTGTTGAAAGCTGGAAACATGTTCGAAGCAAGAGCCAAGCTTATTTTTTGTCGACATTTTTATCATTTCAATGGCCACTTGAAGCTGATCACCGAATGTCCAAATACTGCAGAAGAAGAGAACAAAAAAGTTTGTGTTCCTTAAAGATCTCTTAAGGAACAGCAACTTTTTTGTTCGATAGATTTAGCCAATGACTTCTAAGAACTTCTAAAGACTTCTAAGAAACCTACTTAGACTTCTAACTTCTATAAACTTCTAAAGACTTCTAAAGACTACTAAAGACAGAAGTCTTCTAAAGACTTCTTTAGAAGACTTTAGTAGTCTTTAGAAGTCTTTAGTAGTCTTTAGAAGTCTTTAGAAGTTTATAGAAGTCGACTTCTAAGGAACGTCTCCAAAAGGACTTCTAAAGAAAAAGTACATGAATTTCCAATTTGTTTTCCAAAAATTAAAGAAAGTGTTATCGATCGAATTATATTCTTTTTTTTTTGTCGACATTGGCTATGCGAGAGTTATACACTGCGTAGGACGAGCGAGCCTGTCAATCCCCGAGCGTCCCGATTACTTTCCACCTCCGCGCACTGAACCCTCGTGTTTGGATCCCTCATTTCGTTCCCTTCTGTTCCTCCGCATCGCGTCTCTCTCCTCGTGTTCCGTCCGTTCGTCAGCTGCTCGATTTCTCGTTCGGTTTCGCCTCTCCACCCGAAAAAAATAAAACCCAATTGGACTCGGCTCCCCTGAAAAACTCCTCACAACAAAATACCATCACCCTAAACAGAAAAACCACCTCCTTCTTCTTCATCTTGTTGTTGGACCCATAACGCATCTTCAAGAAGGAGACGAGTATCACGCGCAAGATAAAAGCAAATTCTGATCCCATTCAATTGCAAAGGAGAAAGTTAACAAAGTTCCATCCAAGAAACAGGAGATTAAAGTTTTCTATTTTCGAGATAATGAAATTCATTCTTTCGGAACATTTTTTTTTTTTTTTCTTGATACCTCTTCGAAAAAGCTATATATAGAGATCGTTCCGGGCTTCCCCCATTTCGAGCCGGTTTCATAATCTGTTCATTGAAGCTCTCCGCATCTGGAATTGTCATCTGCGGGCCAATCTGTGCCGCAATCTGAGCCGCCTGACTGATTTTCGTGATCCTATTAAGTGGAGGCGATTTGACGAGAGCGCAGGTATTTTCTCCTCTTTCCAATGTTGTATCTCTCAAGGGAGAATATATATCGAAGAGAGAGAGAGAGGGAGGGAGTTCGAAAAAGCTTATATATTGGCCAGGCGAACTAGCCTCTTCAAAGAGAATCTAATGTGTCACGAAAAAAGGTCACAAAGAACTCTGACACTTTGTGACTTCAATTGTGCCCCACTTGAGCTCGATTGCATCCAACGTGTCGTGTAATATCAAAAAAAAAAAAAAAAAAAAATACTCATCCGTAAAATTCCCCAACAGTTAAAATTACATTTATCGAGAATATCAATAACAATTTTATAATTCTGTGATACGTGTTCGAAAATCCCTACAAAAAATAAAACCAATTTTTGTTTATATTCGTGGGATTATTTGCAAGAACCGCGTGAATTTCGGTATATCGATAAACAATTTTCATTGTTACCGCTCTGTAAATATTTTTTAGGATTAATTGTGTTATTATAATCAGGCTTCGCACTGAATAATTAATTTTAAAACAGTAGCAAAATATATGGTTATCAAAAATTAAATTTGACTCGTTTTGGTTGATTCATAAACATCAAAAAAATTTGATTCTCTATTTTTCTGATTTCTGACTTTTTCTGATTTCCATAAAAAAATATTAACTTTCTTTAAAATTTTAAAATCAACCATCTTTCTCATCCGGGTAATAACTTGAATTCTAAACTCCTTCTAAACTTTGAATTATTTTCCAAATTTTTAGTTTTCGAAAAAATTCAAAATTCTTCAAAAATACGCGTGTTTAAAAATAATTTTTAAAAGTAAAAGAATAAAACTTATTTGAAATTTCAGTTACAATTCTTAAAAAAATGGAATTTTTTTCATACGCTTTCAAATTAAATTCTTCGAAAAATTGAAATTTTTTTTATTCAATAAATATTAAAATTCTAATTGTTATTGATTTTTCCACAAAAATAAAAATTTCAAATAATTTAAAAATGTAAGAAAATTTTAAAATTGAACTATTTCTAAAAAATTAAAATTGTAATTCTTGCAGAATTGAATAATTTTTTTTAATTTTTTAATTGTTTAATGCAATACTTTATAATAATTTTTTAGGAAAATTGTAAATTTTTTAAAATAAATATTTAAATTTTAACTATATCATTACAGGTTTACACCAATTAAAATTTTCAAAGATTTTAATTTACATTTTCAAAATTCAGTTATTTCTAAAAAAAATTTGGTTATAATGCTTTTAATATTTAATTATTATCTAAAAATTTTCATTAAAATTAATTTTTAAATTAATTTTTTTTAAAGAAAATTCTACTAGACTTCAATTTATTATTTAATACAAAAATAAATAATTGATAGACTAAGGATTATATTTTAAAATTGAATTTTTATAAGTAATTTTATCAAAATTTTGGAAAATAATTAAAAATTTTTTTTTCGAGGAATTTTAATAAAATTTTTATGAATAAATGCTTTTTTCGAGAAATATTTATAAAAATTTTATTGGAAATAATTAAATTTTATTAATTATGAAAATAATTGAATTCTTGCGAAGAATTTTATTAAAATCTTTTGGAAATAATTGAATTTTTGTGGAGTATTTTATTAAAGTTTTTGAAAATAATTGAATTCTTGTGGAGTATTTTATTAAATTTTTTGAAAATAATTGAATTCTTGTAAAGTATTTTATTAAAGTTTTTGAAAATAATCGAATTATTTTAGAGAATTTCTTTGAATTTCTTGAAAATAATTTTTCACTTAAAAATAATTTTTCACTTGAAAATAATTTTTCACTTGGAAATAATTTTTTACTTATGGAAATAATTTTTCACATTTGAAAAAAATTTCCAATTAAAAAGTATAATTGAATTCTAGTCTATGAAGAAATAATCACGAATTTCATTAAAAATTTTTAAAAAGATTGAATTAATTCAAGAAATTAAATATTAAAGAAAATTGAATTCTTATAAATAAATTTTATCACAGTTTTGAGAAATAATTGAATTTTTTCGAAGAATTTTAATAAAATTTCTAATAATAAATGCATTATTTGATACATTTTTTAAAAAACTTTCGTTAAAAATAATTGAATTTTCCTGAAAAATTTGATTATTCATAAAAATAATTGAATTATTGCGAAAAATTTTATTAAAATTTTTGAAAATAATTGAATTTTTTGGATAATTTCTTATTTTTTAAAAAAATGTTTTGAAAAGAATGGAAGTTTTTTTTACTAATTTTAATTGAAAATTTTGAAAGTTATTGAATTCCATAAAGAAATAATTAAATTCTTGTTCGAATTTTATTAAAATTTTTGAAAATAATTGAATTCTTTTTTTGAGAATTTCTTATTTTTCTTGAATTTTTTGAAAATAATGGGATTTTTTTACTAATTTTAATCAAAAATTCTAAAAGTAATTGAATTCTGTAAAAAAATAATCAATTTCTTGTTCGAATTTTAATAAAATTTAAAAAAAAAATTGAATTCAATCAAAAAATTAAATTGAATTGTTTTGGAGAAATAAATATTGAATTAATATAACAAAATAAATAAATATTTGAAAATAATTGAATTCCTGTGAAAAATTTTATTATTTTATAAAAATGTTGAATTTCTGCATAGAATTCTATTATTTTTGAAAATAATTAAGTTCTTTCAAAGATTTTTATTAATATTTTTTTTTATTTATTTCTAAGAATTTTATTAGAGTTTTAGAGAATGGTTTTTTTTAAACTATTATCGAATTTAATGTAGTGCAAAGTTTTAAGAAAAAAGTAGCTTTTAGTGTAGCAAAAATGTCAAAAAAAGGATCCAAATAGTATCAAATCGTAAAAAAGTAATAAATAGTACCTATTTTTTTTTTTTTTTTTTTTTTTTATCATTGCGAACAAAACAAAATTTAAGTATGTTATTTTTGTTAATTTATTTAAAAAATAGTGCTTTTGAACTTTTATAAAGTACTGAATTGTAATTTATCTATTTAATAAATTTCCACCCTGATGAGGTTGGCAAATCTTAGCCACAACGAAACATCGCTTCATTAACGACACACTTTTGAATGATATTCAATTTTTACCTTCTCAAGATTATATATTATTAAGATAAGTGCGCGAAGCCTGATGTATAATTTGAAGAGAAAACTGTAAAGTCCTTTAAAAGAATGAGACCTTACCACTTCGTTTGAGGAGTGAATCGTCGCGTCCGTGAAGTTGACCACCGGGTAAAAGTGACTGCCCCGAACCTGGGGTGGCGGACGTTGGAATTCCAGTGGCAAGGGGATGATGGGACGGCGTTGCGGAATACCATGCGGGTGGCCATCCTGCAGCCTGTCCATTGAACATCCTCAACTTGTCGTAAACGCTCTCCGCGCCTTGATGTGCCTGTACCGCTGCCTGTTGCTCCTTCTGCGAAGCCAAGTTCCTCAGCACCCTGTTTATCGATGACACCTGCGTAAAAAAACCCAAAAAGAGAAGAAAAATTCCCTCCGTTAGACAAGACACGTTCATTTTATCCCGACAAGCATCTTTCCACAAGAATAATTCCAATCGTGCTGGAAACATAACATATAGACAGGTAGAGAGAGAGAGAGGGACTAACGAATCTTTACGAAACTCTACGAATACTTGACGAAGCTTTTCGAATTATTTACAAAGCTTTTCGAATCTTTACGAAGCTTTTCGAATTCTTTATGAAGTTCTACGAATCTTTACGAAGCTTTTCGAATTCTTTACCAAAAAAGAAAAATTCTCCCAGGAACATTATGGAGAGGACAATGACTTTCGAGCATTCACAAACGAGATCCAATTATTTATTAGATGAAACGTTTCCTTTCCCATTCCTCCATTCGTCTTCACCTTACCACCCGTAACCAGTGGCTAACTCAAAAGTTATAACGAGCTGGTGGTTTGCACTCGAGTCATAATAGACTTTTGCGCCATGCCATGCCACTGGTATAAGCGAACCCACAATAACGAACAAACCCTGTCCCGCTCCACAATTCTCGAGCGAGAACTTCTTAATTATACCCGAATCCAAATGGAGAATTGGCAAACTGGATGAATTGCTTAATCAAATTATTCCAATCAGGCTGAAAAATACTAGTTAACTTATTTTCTTAAAGATCAAAGCTTTTCGAAAAGTAACCAAACTGAACTGCATAGGCCTTTTGTCCTTTTTGCCTTAGTGACCATAGCCATCACTTGATTGTCATTTAGGAGAATCATTTAGAAGAGTTTTAGAAGAGTATTATAAGAGAGTGTAAGAGTATTAGAAAAGTCATTTAGGAGAGTATTAGAATAGTCATTTAGGAGAGTATTCTTGATGAAGTATCTCATTAAAGAGAACTAGAGTGATGACCTGCTCGATGAAACGAAATTTCTGGTCGAGACCGAGACTCAGACTTGTCCTGGACCTGTGTGTGCAATGGTGGTTCGTCGCACAACAGCCGCAGCATCGATGCAGACCATTACACGCGCGACCGGACACGAATAATTGTGCAACACGCTTAACTGATCCCATTCACTGTGATTCTACCCGCTTCCATCCCCCTCCCCCCCCTTCTTCGTACATCAACTCACCCTGCCGCAACGTTACCACTACCATAAAAGGCGCAGTATGTATGTACAGTCAAAACAAACGAAAGAACGAGCCGTCGATCCACTCGAGATCTGCTAGTATGTGTTTGTGTGTGAGTGTGCGGCGTGCAGAAACGTTGATTGATCAAGCCCGTCTGATCCCATTCGTTTGAACCCCTCTCTCCACCAGATGTATAACGATGCAAGCGCGTGCCATCCTCATTCACGGAAAATCATTCTTTCACTCTTAAATAGACACTGATTTGGATTAGAGATTTTTATTTTTGGCAATTGTTGTCTGAAAATCATCACCAGATGATAAAGATTTACTGGGGCAGTCACTTTGGTTCGGGTCTTCGGGTAGAAGCCAAACCAAAAAGAAAAAGATCTGTTCTGTTATGGTTCAGTTCAACTGGGTACTTAGTACAGTTAACATTTGTTGAAGATAGTAGAAATAATTGCCATGTTCTAAATGTTTCTTAACTCTGTTTCTTTCTAAACTCATTGTCAGCATAAGCTTATACCTGCAATTCCTACTTTAAGGTAAACTTTATTACTCAAGTACAAGCGTCTAATTTCAGATATGATCCTTTTTTGTCAGTCGGCAATGAACAGTTAACAGAGTAACAGTAAGTTTATCGTATAAACTTTGTCTGTTCTCTATATATTGAATCATGCATTTAACTGAATAAATTAATTGTTAAAATACAATCTGTTTTACTTATATTAAAAACCCAACAGTAAATAAATTTTTGATTTAGATATTACTGTATTGATTATTTTAATCCCAAACATTTCTATAATCTATGTAACCAATCTTTGAATAATTAAATTCATTGTATCGACCGTACAAAGACAGACCAAAAACCTAAATAGAAGTATCGCAGAGGAGACTTCGCTTCAGACCGCAACCGACGGATATAAAACGTCGGGACAAGAGGAGACGTAATATTGGACACAATTACCCTAAAGACCTAAAGTCTAAACACCCTAAAGACAGTACCCTAAACAGGTATAATTCGCACTATCGAACCTTCTATCAACCTTTTGATGCTACCAAATAAACCTTACAACCCGAAAACCAGAATTCTTTTTTAATTTCGTTTAAAAATTTAAGTGAAATTAAATTAAAGAGTTTAAAAATTACTAATACACCATTATCAACAATTAAAACGTCCAGTCGATAGAAAGGATTAGGTAAATTAGATAGATACTGTCACAAAACCACCAATTGAACATCCAATGGACTTTGTAAACTATATTTTTCCAAGTAATCCCTTTTAAAGTCGTTTTAAACCAAAATTTAAACGAAATACGTGAACTGAATTTTTAATAGAACGCACTGGACGACTGTTTTTTTTTTTTGGAAAGCAGTCTCTATTTGCCGAATCTGTCAATTTCCGAAAATGGCCAATTTCCATCACCATTATACGGATTACTTTGATATACAAAGATTTGTCCAAGGTACAATTAATTAAGGAAACGGAAATAGAGAAACATCGCTTGATCTATAATTATGAGGACCCCAATAGGCACGTTTTCTTAAAGCCTGACCACTGTCCACAAATACCATTCAGACAATTAGCTAACAATATTTGTAGAACAATTTCCCTCGAGTGTCGTATTTACGAAAGCATCCTTCCTTTTGAGGCGATCATTATATTACGAATCTATGGAAATTTACCATCGAAGCTCATTCCTACCATGTGTTTTGTGTTAATTTATCATTCGAATTCATTTTTATGTTAATTGCTTGCAGTGTGACGTTTAATATGTTATTAAATATTTTATATTTGAATGATGTAAAACATCTTTAGGCACTCTTATTTCTTACTCTATGCAGATGACCTTAAATGTTACAAAAATGTAAAACCCATCTTCAGGCACTCCTATTTCTTACTCTATGCAGATGACCTTAAATGTTACAAAATAATTCATTCACTTACAGCAGGAGAGGGGACACTTCAGATCTGCAAAAGGATCTGAAGAGGCTACAAAGATGATGTGATAAAAATCATTTATTTAATATAGAGAAAAGTTATGTTGTTTTATTTTCTAAAGGCAGTCAATTAATTACACTATTGATGGTCAGAACTTGGAGAGAGTAACTAGGGTGAGTGATTCAGATGTATTCAGTAATCTTTGTTTGAATGATCAAGTTACTGAAATTAAGAACCTCAAAATCTTTGGGGTTTCACGAGATGAAATTTTCAACTTACATTGGCCCATAAAAACCTATTTTAAAACTGATTCAAACCTTTTAACGATTGTTTGACCCTTATGGCATTACTTTAACGTTTAATAAACCTTCGATTGTATATTTCCAACCCTAAAAGAAACCTTATGAACCTCAAAAGAACTTCTTAATTTTATGATTCTGAAATAGTCAACCTTACTAACCTTTCTTTAACCCTAACATACATTATTTTCTTTCTCACCAACTTCCTTTGAACCTAAAACATCGATTTTCAAATCTCCTTTGTCCCAAAAATATCCTTTTTCATTCCCGAAAACAGACCATAAAAATGTAGGCAATCATAAAAAAATGGGACCAAAAATTGATAGTAATCCTAAAGTAAGTGTTTACATATGTTTAGCTTAGTGGATATGAAGAGGTATATATGAATAAATATACACAAAATATAGTTTTGGGATTTCTAAATTTCCCACCCAAAAATTTACTATATAGTAAAAACACAACTATCACATAGCCTAAAACTCATATTGCAGTTAGTTTTTCGTCAACTACGACAAAGTTTGCACTCACTTTTTAAAAGTATCGAATAAAATTTGATTTAAACAAAATGTATGTAATAAAAATAAAAAAACAATTTTGTGCTTGTGTTGTGGGTGATAAGTAAGATAAAAACTATCAAGGAGTAGGTGGACTATAATGAACAGAAATCAAAAGGTTAATTAGCAAGGATTGTAATGTTTGGAGGTAAGTGATATTTATTTTGTGTAATAATATTAAATAACTTCAAATATCACGGGTATTAGGCGTAAAAATCCAATATCCATTGTTAACCCTACATTAAAAAAATTATTTGAATCAAATGTTATATTACTGAGGCAATAATGAAACGATATTATACCTAGCATTTTCGCATACACGGAAAAAATCTTGGGTGACGTGCAATCCTAATCGTCGGAAAGTGGGGGAACTATAGTTTGGATGTGCTACGTTCTCAATTCGGGAAATCTGCGTTCCCATGTCGGTGGCGCTGAACACCCAAGATTTGAGACTCAAAACTTGGGACTGCAATAGCCGCATCTTGGGCGTTCAGCACGCCCAAGTTGGAAATGCAGCTCCTCCAAACTAAAGTCGTATCGCATTCGTACATTTTCGGTCTACTTGGAACGGCACGTCACCCAAGATTTTTTCCGTGTAGTATTAAATATTTTGTATTTAGAACAAATATTATAAATTATTTCAACGTTGTCTCCAGATCATTACAATAAAAATTACCGCTGTATTAAATGACAATATTACCTGAATATTTCCAAGCATCGACACTACAATGTTGCCATGCTTTATTGCTCCAAGTCGAATATAACATTTGCAAAAATATTGGCAACATTTTTATGCAATATTAATCTATTTTATTTATTGTTTAGAATGGAAAAGAATATTGTTAAATGGACGATGTAAAGCTGACAAGGGCCGATTATATCAACATCATGAATAAAAAAGATTCCAACAAAATATATATAAAAAGAAAAAAGAGCAATAATATAAAAAAATTCAAATTATGTGAGAAACTTAATAATGTTTGTTGTAACCTTTAAAGTTGAATTTAATTTAAAATGTAAAAACTATAATTGTAAAAGTAACAAATAAAAAATTGATAAATCTGAAAAACGTCATTTTCTTTTATTTAATCCTGCTTGGCAATAAAATAGGCCATAAATATGAAAACACTCCAGACGCTACCTTAAGGAATCTTAACCCTACATTTACGTGCTTCATTAACAGATATAAATCGCACTGCCGAACCTTCTATCAAACTTTTGAGGCTGCAAAATAAACCTTACAACACTATAATCAACCAGAAAATAGGAAAAACTGGACGAAAGTGAGAAAATTTAGCCTGATTGTGTAGCTTCGTTAGGAGCAAATATCTATTATAAGTCGGTTTCAAATGAATATTATAAGATTTTTAAGGGGTAAAGAATTGTAGATTCAAAGCATGTTGAAAGTAGGCTGAAAATTTTGTCTCGGGTTATAATGGAGATGTGCTTCGGTATTTCGTGGTTTTGCAACAATTAGAATATTATACTTGACGCTTGTCAGATCAATAATTGAATATGCATATGTATCTGGTCTTCTTTTCATGTATATTCCACATAATCAGAATTGAACGTGTTCGAAATAATTTTTTTAAATTTGCTGCATTTTGATTATCATATGCATGATTAGAAGGATTTAGGGACTTTAATAAATATTCCTCTCTTTACATCTAGATTCAATTTCTCTGATATGTCTCTCTTGTACAGACTGATGAACGGAGCTATCTATTGCCCTTCACTACTATGGTTAATTTATCTCTTCCTAGAATGCTTACTGTACGTTATACATTATTTTCGGTGGTATTTCATAGTAGAAACTATGGTTCGTTGATCGTCATGTTAAGCGAATGACGCGTAACATATTATAGCATCCAGCCCCTCAATTAATAAAATTATTTATTTGGAAAATAACAGGACATGCAATCTCGAGGTCAAGAATCTTGCGGCAAATCTCAGAAATCTATTTTGAACACATATTCTAATCATATTGAAAACGTAATTATTCTTGAATTACAAAATAGGGAATCGGAATATTTCCTTATTTTTAAGAACAAGGGATAAGAATATTTACTCGCTCAAAATAATTAATTTGTATTTTTCCCCCTTTGAAAATATATGGTTTTTCGGGTTGTAATTTCAGGTTAATTAATCGCTTCGGAATCCTTGCTCTCTCATGTCAGGCGGGAAATTTATTTCCCAGGAAAGGGGATTTAGGTGCTTCTTCCGGCATTTGGTCCATTGAAAGGAATGGTTCCAGTGTACATATATATATATAGTCTGTGTGCTGACCAATGTCTTTAAAAGTATTAGTTTCATTGGTGTGTAACGAGGGGTAGATCAAGAGGATGTTTGGAAGACGTATACGCTCAGGGAGAGAGTGAGAGAGGATTCTTTGGTATATCGAGGGGAGGGTTCCGACTGTCGATGAGGGTGGACAATGTCGAGTTCGCGTAATGGACCGATTACCCCACCCAACTGATCTCGTATTGACGAGACTTTGATTAGGGTCGAGTGGCCAGATCCGACGGGTAAGTGCTGCCTGCTTGCGCACCCTGATAAGCACACTGAAGACCATCATCGTTACAACATACTATATACGTTAAAGGGAAAGTTTCATTAATGTCCGATATGCTTTCGGATTAATATCAACTCCTCTCTCTCTCTCTCGACACCTGTCCATTAGGGTTTCAATTTATGACTATGGATTATGCGTGCGTTCCCCCATTACGCGGAGGAATTTTACTTAAGATCCAAATACTTACACTTGGTATGTTGTCATTGTTGCAGACTCCTTCCTGAAGCAATCGATCGCGAATCTCCCAGGCGAAGATTGAAGGACACTCGCGTTTGTAGTCGGCAATTTTATTGACGACCGGCGTTGTCGCGACTCTCGGCTTACTGCCGCCAATTGCTCGCGGCTTTATCGAACCGGTCTCGTAATATCTGCAAGAAAAGTGCATCAGTCACTTGGCTGAAGGATTTGTAAAATTGTAAATGTAAAATCATGATTGCCAGCAGAAATTTACTTTTTTGTACCTTGTAAAGTGTAAAGTTTTTACTAAACTCAGATTATGAAAAGTATAGTATTTTTTAGAAATCATACAAACCTTCCTAGTATTTTCGAGACACAACCATTGCTGACTTGTAGAATACGGGAAATATCGCAGGGTCTAGCGCCGCTGTGTGCCAATTCGACAATTTTCTGCCTCGTCGAGTCGGGCAGTGGTCGTCCATTGACATAAACACCTCCAAGTTGGTTGACACCACTGTGTCCTGCAGCCGAGCATCCAAATATGTTTTGCCCAACCATAGAACCCCCTCCAAGACCCACTCCACCCCCGTGCATCAAGTCCTCCTCTGCAAAGCATAAACCACTCAATATATATATATCTATCTATATATTCCGAATATCACTTGAGTCGAGTCCATCGGCAAACAGATCGCACCAAAGTCAAATATTCTTAGTCCTAATTACGATCCAATTTAACATTGAATTTCAACCCCTCCCTCATGTTTAAACAGACACCTGACAACGCCACGAAATTCGATCATGATTATTCACACAAAAATTTACATTTTATCGAAATTCGAACAAGAGTTTCATGTTACCTTACATCTGATTTCTATTTTCTTCACATTCGATCTTAATTTTAAATAATCATGCAGATGGTAAGGATAAAATAAAATTGCTTACGGAAAAATGTCTGGGAATTGACTGTCCGACGGTATTCGAAAATGGTGTATTGAGTCACATAACCTACAAATTTTTTGTACCTTTCTTCAATAGAGATTACCTTTCTTCATTGTTAAAATATCTTTACTTTTAAAAATAATATAGTAGAAATTTGCTTAGGCTTCGCACTCATCTACTAAAAGCTACTATTTACTACTTGTTTTTACGTTATGCTACTATATGGGTACTTTTTTAGATTTCAACCACTAAAACCAACTATTTCTGTTTTTCTTGAGAATTTACTTTAAATTCATCGCTAATACTAGAAATCAAAAAACTTCTAAAAAATTATAGTCTCAAATTCTTTGAAATGATTCAATTATTTTCAAAAAATATTCGAAATTCTATTTTCAATATCTAGTATATTTTCATAAAATTTCGCAAAAGAATTTAAAAATTTAAAAAAAAATTCATAAAATTCATCAAAAATCAATTATTTTCATAAATAATAAAATTTCCACAGGAATTCAATTATTTTTAAAGAGCATCTTTAAAAAAATCAATTATTTAACAAAATTTTTAATATTTTTATACAATTCTTTACAATAATTCAAATACTTTCACAATAATAACATTTTTCATGAAAATTCAGTTTTTGAAAAAATTTTTTAATAAAATTCTATAAGCAAGAATTCAATTATTTTCATAAATAACAAAAAGTCATTGAATATTCTTCAATATTCAATTATTTTTAAAATTTTTAAACAAATTCTCTTCAAAATTTCAATTATTTTCATAAATAATAAAATTCTTCTGAGAAATTCAATTATTTTTGAAAATTTTAATAAAATTCTTAGCAACTAATTCAATTATTTTAATAAATAATAAAATTCATGTGAGGATTTCAATTATTTTTAAAAAAATTTTACAGGAATTGCTCATAGAATGAGCGAAAAAATCAATTATTTAAAAAAATTATTTTTTAAAATTCTTTAGAAGAATTCAATATTAATTACAAAAATATAACAATTTTTTGCAGGAATTCAATTATTTTGAAAAGTATAGTAAATTTCTTAGTGAAAATTTAATTTTTTTAAAAACATTTTTGATAAAATTCTAAGCAAGAATTCAATTATTTTCATAAATAATAAAACTCATCGAAGAATTTCAATAATTTTTAATACTATTTTTAATTAATTAATAGAAAAATTCAATTATTTTCACAAATTAAGTTTCCCACAAGAATTCAATTATTCAAAATAAAATTTTCATAATATTTATTATATTTCGAAAAAGTTAATAATTTAAAAGAATGTTTATAAAATACTTATGAAGAATTGAATTATTTTCAAAAATAACAAAATTTTTCACAGAAATTCAATTCTTTTTAAATATTTTAATAAAATTTTTCTCAATAATTCAATTATTTTCATAAATAATAAAATTCATCTCAGGCATTCAATTATTTTTGAAAATTTTAATCAAATTCTTAGCAATTATTCAATTATTTTCATGAATTATAAAATTCATCGCGGGATTTCAATTATTTTCATGAATAATAAAATTCATCGCGGGATTTCAATTATTTTTATTACAATTTTACAGGAATTGCTCAAAAAATGTAATTATTCTTAAAAATTTAATTTCAATTCCTCGAAAAAATCAATTATTTAAAAAATCGTTTTTTTAAATTCTTTAGGAGAATTCAATTATTTACAAAAATATCACAATTTTTCACAGGAATTCAATTATTTTCAAATATTTGAATAAAATTGTTCGTAAGAAATCAATTATTTTAAATACAACTTTAATTAAATTTTTTTGAAAGAATTCAATCATTAAAGATAAATAACAAAATTATACCCCGAAAATTCAATTATTTTGGGGCATTTTAATGAAATTTTTTGCAAAATTCAATTATTTTCCTAAATAACAATATTCATCACAAGAATTCAATTATTTTTAAAAGTAATAATTTTCGTCTTGGAAATTCAATTATTTTCAAAAATAAAATCGTTCAGAAGAATTCAATTATTTTCATAAATAATAAAATGCTTTTTAGGAATTCAATTATTTTCAAAAAAAAATTTAATAAAATACCACCCAGACATTCAATTATTGTCAATAATTTGAATAGAATTTTTTGCAAAATTTAATTTTCTTTAAAAACTTTTCGCAATTCAATGATTTTCAATATCCTACTATTTTCATAAAATTTCTAAACAGATTTCGATCATTTAAAAAAAAATTTTGTATCAATCTTCGTTAGAATTCATTTCTTTTTATAAATAATAAAAATTTCTTAGGATTTCAATTATTTAAATTTGAATTTGCATAAAATTAGTCGAAAGAAATGAATTATTTAACATTTTTTATAAAATTCTTCGCAAGAATTATATTATTTTTATAAATATTTAAATTCTTTCATGAATAATAAAATTTGTTGCAGGAATTCAATTTAAAGCAGTAGAATAAGAGAGAAGTAAATATTTTTGATGAAAATTTGGAAAAAGTCAGGAAAATAAAAAATATTGATTGGAATTTTCGTCAGTTTTCTGAAGTGTCTAAAACGGGGTTTTTGGTCGTCAAGTTTTTATTTTTCGATAGCTACTTTTTTACTACTTTTTTTTAAGTGTGAAAGCTACTTTTTTACTAATTTTTTTAGTTTAAAGGCTACTTTTTTTTTTTTTTTTTTTTTTTTTTTTTTTTTTTTTTTTTTTGAAAATTAATTATCGAGTGCGAAGTCAGCTTAGAGTAAAAATCTGCAACTACCGACCAAACTTCAGTTGAGAATTTAAACAATAAATTCATAAATTTCTATGAAAAAATTAGTCTATACTATTTAATACACGACGAGCACATAGAATATACAACTGCGGATGAAAGGGAGGATTTTAGCAACATTGTAACATTTAGAGTCGAAGAAGAAGAAGAGGAAGAAGAAGGGAAACTACGCGCTAAATGCATCTAAATTAACAAATTTAATTAATCCTCAACATTTGCGCGTGAACCGACACAAGAAATAGTTAGAATGCTATTTAATTTGTCCTCTCACTCTCTCTCTCTCTCATAGTGATGCTTTCTCTCGCGCCTCGTCGACACACCTGCAGAGCAAAACACATTTCGTATGCAACTAAGCAACTGCCAGCGTCTATATCTTTTGGGAGCTTGTTGTACACGAATTATTGTAGTGAGTCTCTTCTATGCACTCACACGTTTCATAACAATCCAAGCAGAAGTTTCGTTTCATTCTTTCATCGCGTTCTGTTTAATTATCTCTTCTTATTCTATGTTTATATATACGTAATATGGAAACATTTTGCAAAAACGTTTTTCATCGTCTTTAGAGTTCATTATTTATGAATTTTCACTCATGTGATATGCGCCCTGAAGAAAGGAATCTAAGTTGAAGAAAAAAATTCTAGGTTATGTTTGTGATCCTTTTGCGAAAATTAACCTTTGAACTGCTAGAGAACACTTTATGGTCTGTACTTTCTTCCCTAGTGATTTAAAATTATTTTTTAAACTCCTAATTATCAAATTTAACTAAATTGTTTTTTATTACTTAAATAATCTTTAACGTCCGAGATAGTTTATAAATTAAGGCAAATTAAACGAAAACATTCGGACAATGAATAAAATATTTATTGACTCCAAAGTTTTGAAATCTAATTTTTTTATTATTAAAAATTATAAAAATTACAATTCTTCAAAATTCTTTACAAGATGAGACAATCAAAACTATATTGAAATTGGATTCAAGTGCATGAAAAATCGACAAGTGTTTTTAAAAACTATCATGAACATAACCTACAATTTTTAAGAAGAGTGAAGAAAGAGACTATACGCTCTTTCTTCAGTGCGCGTCACATATCACAACTGCAATTTAAATATGAAATCAAAACGATATAAAAAAAAATTTACATAAAATATTGGAATAATGATAATTTTCAACATTTATTCTCGTCAATATTTTCAATTTCTCGTTTGACGAATTGACGAATTGACGCGTGCATTATTTTTATATAATGCGCGACAGTGATATAGCGTTCAAGGCGATTTGTCTTCTGGCCGATTCCTAATAGGTTCGAACGTCGGTTCGTGAATGTGATTTTCACATTGATCAAAGAGACTCTCTCATCTTCCGAAAGAATTTTTTTTTTTATTCTTTCTCTCACTGGTGATGTCCGACAATGAATATTCATATCGCGTTCGCATTAACGACCGGATAAGTCAAGCCTGTGACTTTGTAATCTGTCGTTTAATTTATGCATGCTATATATATAGAAAGAGAGAGAGAGAGAGAGAGAGAGAGAGAGAGAGAGAGAGAGAGAAATGTTTCTTAAAAAGATGTAGATTTTCTTGCAAAAGCTTAAAATGTATTATGTGAGAACTGTTTTATACGCGACTTCCGATATGCTTTAGAAAATATAAATAAAATTTAGAAATAGAATTGTTGATAATATTAAAAATGCATGTTGACCTATGGTTGCAAAATTTTATTTTTTTATTTATTTAAATAAAAAAAAAAATAAATAAAAATAAAAAAAAAACTTAAAATCGTTTTGCGGACCCAAAAAATCTAGTATCAAATTTTTTAAAATAAATTTAAGGGGGGCTTCGACTACATTTTTAAATAATATATATATCAAGAAAATGATTTTAATTTTTTATTAAAATTATT